GTGGCCGTAACCATCCCTCAGAAGGGTCGGGGGCACGCCTGTGAAAACCGTGAGGGCTCGGGCCAAGCGGGCGCCGCTGGCTAGGCAGGCAGGTGCACGGGAGTTGTGTCCTGCTCTGCTGAGGTTCGGGAGAGGCAGGGCCCTACTCGGCTGATGCCACCGGGCGCCCAGGAGGGCGGGGGGGGGGGGGAGCTCTCCCAGAGGGGGCCACTGTCATTAACTCCTTTTGTGTTCTGTGAGCCACCAACCTCTGTGCGAGCCTCTCATGGGTACGGCGAGGCCACCGCTGGCCCGGACAGGGGCCGCATGGGGTAAATGGGGATTCTGAGCTCCCTGGGGACACAGGGCTGTGCCAGCTTTTCTGCCTTGGCCCGAGTAGTCTGTATCCCTGAAGAGTCGGCTCTGTGCCTTCTCCCTGGCACGACAGAGGCCGCGTGCCCGGCTCAGGACACGGATGTGGGTCTAGGAACTCGCCCAGCGCTCCTCTACCTTCTCGACATCCATGCCCGACAAGTCTCTTTCCTCACCTTCCTCGACTCCACTTCTGCCGTTAGCACAAACACCCGTCCTGAGGCTGCCACGCGGCAGGAAGGCTTCCTAGAGGCCCCGTCGCCCTAGATTCCCGAGCTTGAAACTGTAACTGAAGGAAGCTGCAGCCCCTCCACTACACAGTTCGTATTCCTAGTAGAGGTCCACGCAGGGGCAGTGAAAGAAAGCGAAGGCGAATAACCTGACGTTTCCCAGCCTGACGTCTCCATGGCAGTGTCTTAGCCTCGGGTGAGCACAGAAGGCGCCTGGGGACGGGAGTTCCTGACCCAACTTCCAGAAATCACAACGTGGTAAAACTGGTGTGAAATCTAGGAATGTGCATTCTGTCAGGGACCTAGAAGTGATTTTAAAGCGCATTTCTAAGCTGATGGATGGCACTTTGGGAAATGCTGGCCAGGGGACCGGATGGGCGGTCATATCTAAAGGGGGATGCACACAGCTCAGGACCTACGGAGACTGGTCCACGGAGGCCACGGGGACCTGTTCCGTTTACAGCTAATGGTTCTTGCACCCACACATTCAGTGGGACACCTTGCAGATTTCTGGAGCTCCTTCTAGACATGGCTCTGTGACCTTCAGCACGGAGCCCTACAAACGCCCCACATTAGCCCCTCGAAACTCTGATCTCTCAAGTCATCAAGACCTCTGTGTTTTACTGGAGTCCCCCTCCCCCCAACCACGCGGTCCAGAAAGTGTTTCCAGGCAGAAAGCTGGAGGACGAGGCCTGCTCTAGTGGCGCCCTCTCTCTCCGTGACGGCGGCCCTGCGCTGCCCGTGGTCCAATGCCAGAAAACTGTCTGCCTCTCATTTGCCCGGTCTTCATGTTATAATGTGCGGGACCAGCTGCTCCGTCATGACTGGGGCTGGCAGTTCCTTTTTGGTGGCTTTTAAGCAATTCTCCATTTTGGATACTTTTTCGTTGCACCAGATGCATCTAGGAGTAGATTTCTTTGAACTTCTCTTAATTGATGGTCATTATGCTTCCTGGATTTGTGGACTCATATCTTTCATCGGTTCTTGAAAACTCTTGGAAATCATCTTTTCACATATTGCCGCTCTTCTACTCTCTCTGTTCTCTCCCGTGGACTTCCGGTCTGACACTCTTATTCTGCTCTCCTGGTTTCCAAGTGTTTCCGTTCCCACTGTCCCACACCGTTCTTCTTTCTGATACATTCTAGGCAATCCTTCCCTACCTGTCGCGAGCTAAAATTCTCTCAGCTGTGCCTCATCTGTTTCACGTTTCTTTTGAGATTTTACGTCAACAATCAACTTTTAAAATAGCTTTATTGAGGTATAGTTGATATACAAAAAAATAGCACATATTCAACGTACACAATTTGATGAGTTTGGACATAGGCACACACCCATGATTCCTTCATCACAATTCAACAATTACATGTTAATTTTTAAAGTTTATTTATTTGAGAGAGAGCGAGAGCATTCAAGCAGGGGAGGGGCAGAGAAAGAGGGAGAGAGAATCCTAAGCAGGCTCCCTGCTGTCAGTGCAGAGCCTGATGCAGGGCTTGATCTCATGAATTATAAGATCATGACCTGAGCTGAAACCAAGAGTTGGATGCCTAACCGACTGAGCCACCCTGGTGCCCCTTACAATTACACTTTTTAAAAGTTTTTATTTATTTAATTTGAAAGAGAGAGAGAGAATCCCAAGCAGGCTCTGCACTGTCAGCACAGAGCCTGATGTGGGGCTTGAACTCACAAACTGTGGGACCGTGACCTGAGCCAAAATCAGAAGTTGGACGCTTAACCAACGGAGCCACCCAGGCGCCCCTACAATTACACTTTTAAACAACATTCTCTTCAGTCCTTTTTTTTGTTTTTTATCTTTTTTTTTTTTGCTTCAGAGCAAAAAGCAAAAAACAAAAAAGCAAAAAACTTACCGAAAAGTTTAACATGCAGTAAATTAAAACTCTTTTCTCTGCACCATTTGAGAATAAGCCTCTGAGTTGATGCTGCATCACTGTCAAATACCTTAGCGTGAACTTCCAGCAAGAATTCTCTTCCTATAGGTCACCTACAGTCCTCAAGATAAGGAGTTAACCTTGTCGCCTTCCTCCCCTCTCCCATTCTTGCAGATCGTCCTGGGAACAGTCATTACGGCAAGAGGGGTCAGTTTTCTCGCTCACAGGCGGCAGGCCATCCCTGCTGCAATTCTGCTGCCCACGTGGACACCTTCCACGCAGACGCTCTGGGGCTCTCACGCCTCGTTTGGACCCTTTGTGCCCTGCCTCCCAGCTGCGCGGAAGCCCTCCCACGGTGCTGGCGGCCCGCTGCCCCAGCTCACCCGCGGGGGCTACGCCCACCTCACGCAGGGCCCACACCCCGGGGTGACGTCCTAGTATCCTGCCCAGGCTGGGACTCTCCGTGTTGCGCTGACCCCATGGGCTGAGGCCCTCCTCGCTCGGCCACGGTGACTCCTTACCCTAGCCTGCCAATCGACGAGGACACACTCTTTCCCGTTTTGATCTCACTTCCCATATCGGGGAGGCTGGGTTCTGATACTCACATCTGGGTCAGCACAACCCTCTCCATCTCCCCTGTGTCACCGGTGTCACCTGATGGCTTTAGGACAAGACTGATCCAGAAGAGAAGGCTGCAGAGGAAAGGACGGGTACCGGCGACTCTCTGGTCACCGTGGGGTCTCCTCCTGGTTTCTCACTGTTACTCGTTTCCTTAAATAGTTCATGTATTTTTGTTTCTGAGAATTTCAGTATCTGAGCTCCTCGGGAGGGCAATCTACAGCTTGTGTTTTTTCAACTCTCAATTATTGTGGTTTCTTCTTTTGTGTATTTTATGATTTTTTTTAAGTTTATTTATTTCAAGAGAGTGAGAGCATAGTGGGGGAGGGGCAGAGAGAGGGAGAGAGAGAGAGGATCAAAGCAGGCTCCGAGCTGTCATTGCAAAGCCCAACGCAGGGCTCAATGTCACGAACCATGAGACCATGGCTTGAGCCGAAATCAAGAACCCGACACTTAACTGACTGAGCCACCCAGGCGTCCCTGAGGTTCAAGCCTATTAAAATCTGGATGGGGACTTAGTTATGCCAGGTTGCTTACAACATTTACTATTATTATTTTTTGCAGTGATTACATGCAGCTGAATTAAAATAACTTAAAAAAAATTTTTTAAAAGGAAGAGAGAGAGAACGAGTGACGAGCATGGAAGGGGCAGAGAGGGAGAGGTCAGCAGAGAGCCTGATGTGGGGCTTGAACTCAGGAACCGTGAGATCACAGTCTGAGCTGAAGTCGGAAGCTCAACAGACTGAGCCACCCAGGCACGCCTCAAAATAACTTTTAAAATTGTTTTTCGTTTTTTTTCTCTTTTAGATGAGTGATTAGTTACATTGGTTACTAATCCAGTAAAGTTTATTTTTTCAAACATCTTACTATGAAAAACTTCGAACGCATAGAAAGTTGAAAGAATTTCATAGTTAATGTAGTTTCCCATTAACGTCCTGTCACATGCCCATCTCCGTTCCCATCTGGGGAGCCGCCTCCTGCGTGGACCCTGGCGGCTGCTGACTCGCGGGTCACAGCACCCGGTTTCCTACCTCTCCACGCTGCCCGTCAATCCGCTCTCTTGCGGGGCGCCTGGGGGGCTCAGTCGGTCAGGCGTCCAACTTCAGCCCAGGTCATGATCTTGCAGTCCGTGGGTTCCAGCCCCGCGTCGGGCTCTGTGCTGACAGCTCGGAGCCTGGAGCCTCTTTCAGAGTCTGTGTCTCCCTCTCTCTGCCCCTCCCCCACTCATACTTTGGTCTCTCTCTAAAAAATAAAATAAATGTTAAAAATTTAAAAAAAAATCCGCTCTCTTGCTGCCAGAGCCATCTTCCCTAACACAAGTTGTGTCATGTAACTTCTGCTGTTAAAACCTTTCCACACTCCCTCCAGCTTCAGGAAAACGTCCCAAAGTCCTCGTTGCCCTGTTTCGGGCAGCGGACTGCTTGCTTCCTGAGCGCCTTGCCTCCCCAGGAGGTCCCCGCGGTCCCCGACGGTCCTGTGACCTCGCTGAGCCTCTGCTCAGCCCCGTCTTTCTACCCCGTGCCCCCCACCTTCGCTGTCGCTGTCGCCGAACCGACGCTGTGGCTCCTGTGTACCTCACGACCTCACTTCATCCCCGCCCCCCCACGACGGACAAGGCTCCCGAAGCCAAGCCCCATGCCCCTTCCTTCATGGGTTCTGGCCTTCCTCGCTGCTCAGAAGCGCAGTGTCCCGCGGACCTCGGGCCCCGGCGCCCGGGGCGTCCGGGAAGCAGCCGCAGCCGGCCTCGGGCCCCGGCCTCCGGCCGCTCGCGGGCTCCGGGTCAGGGGCAGCCGGCCTCTCCGAGCAAGCCCCGCCCCTGCCCGGCCCGGCCCCGCCCACCGGCCCGCGGGCCGCCGGCCGGAAAGCGCCGCGCCAACCGCTGCAAAGTGCCGTACAACAGAACCCGGGACCGGACTACGGCCGGCAACCGCCCCCCGCCGCCGCCGCCGCCGCCAACCCTGCGGCCGCAGAAGGCGAGCGTGGCAGCCGCCCGCCTGCTTGCCCTCCGCGCTTGCCCCGCGTCCCTGCGGGTGTCCCGGAGTCGCCGCGCCGCGGAGGCGGCCCGCGCCCGCCCTGCCGGTCGCCATCATCCCGGCGTGCACCGCGGCGGCGGGCGGGCCGGCGGCCATGTTGCGATAGTCTGTTGTTTTCGTCCTGCGGAGGAGCCGGGCCGGAGTGGCCGAGACCGCCGGCCGTCTCGCCCTGTCCCCGGCCCCGGCCCGCCGCCCCCCGCCCCCCGCCCCCCGCGCGCTGCCGCGCGTCCCCGGGCCCCGGCCGGCCGGCGGCCCACCGCCTGGCTTGGCGGGGCGACCCTGAAGGCCGGGCCCGCGAGCACCATGGCGGCCGCCCTGGGAGCCGGCGGAGGAGCCGGCGCCGGAGGTACGTGAGCCGCCCCGCGCGGGGAGGCCGGGCCGGGGCTCTCCCTCAGCCCGCGGCGTCGTGCGGGCCCGCGAGCCGGGGTGCCGCGGCCTCCGCCGTCGCGCCTGCAGGCCGCCGCGGGCCGCTCGCGCCGGGAGCCGGGCCTGTGGCCGGAGGGGCTCTGCTGGCGGCCTTGGGCGCCCCGCGGGCCGGGGGCCGGCGCGCAGCCGGGTGTCCCATTGTGCGCGAGCGCGGGCAGCGCGGCGTTTCCGAAGCCGGGGGTCGAGAGACGTGACCCCATGTCGCGGGTCGGCCACGCCAAGTCCGTGGTCCAGTGAGCACTTCCAGCGCTTGGTCAGCGTTTCGGGGACCCAACCGGGCGAGGAAGGTGTAGACACTGGACCAGTTCCTTTGGGCGGTTTCCTCCTGTTTCGCAACCGTCAGTGGTGTTGACAGGGCGCCTAGCGAATTCCAGGTGAATTCGCATTTTGTTGATTGAGGCTTTTTTTTTAAATAAGGAACAATACCTGCAGGTGACTTTTTAATTATTATCCAAAAGCGTTGGTAAAGGAGCCCCGCAGACGGGGAGGTATAATCGGCGAGAGCGTTGGGCACTCCTTGCTGACACGTCCTTCCAGTGTGTTCCCCGGAGGTAGGCTTTAGCACCGCCTTCTCACGAGTCCGTGGCAGCGTCCTGCCTGCAAGTCTGGGCTGAGCGTTGAAACGCGTGAACGGCGACCGCGGTGGGGGGACCGTTCCCCGGGGGCGGCGCGCCGTGGTCCGCGCCGCTCCGCTGTCGGGCGGAGGTGCGCCTGCTCCGTCGGGGTCCCCGGACGGGGTACCGTTCGGCGACTTGCCGGGGTCGCTGTCGGGGGCGCCCGGGTGAAAGGCCTTCGGTGGCCGCGCAGCCCCGCGGTTTGCGCCCTCCGGCGCTCCGTGGCAGACGCGGTGCCAGGTGTGACAAGGCCGCGCGTGCGGCCGTGTTCTTTCAGGTTCCCCGTCTTCACTTCCCGAGGGGGCCTGACCGCGGCTGCAGGCTGCGCGAGAACAGCACTTGAGGGCCTAGAAAGCTCGGGACTCGCTGTTTTAGGGGATCAGCTGGGCTCCACCCTCGGCGCCCCGGAGTTCCCTCCTGCCTCCCCGCAGTGTGTCCGCCGCCTGCTTCCCGCCTCCCCCCCCCCCCCCCCCCCCGGATTCTAGACAGCCTTGTTTCCTCCAGATCCCTTAGCCCGGTTCTCGCTAGGTTCTTCCCCTCTTTTTGAAACAAGAAGCCCGGGAGCCCCCTGAAGACGGGGAGGCGGCCCCCGGGACCTGCCGTGTGCTCCTGGGGGTTGTGTGCGCCCAGCCGACACTTGGACGAACGAGGGCGTCGCGGAGGGAAGTGTGCTCCTCACGGACGCTGCTGTGCCCTGTCGTGCACGTGGAAGCCAGCCCCTTGCTGGCGCGAGCAGGATTCTGGGCCCTGCGGGTGGCCTCGCTCCCCGAGGAGGGGCGGGTCGGAGGGGCGCGCCGGGGGTTTCCTGTGGACGGCGTGTCCTTGCCTCGGCCCCCTCGCCGCCGCGGACGCTTGGGTGCCCCGCACGTGCCTCCGGAGGGTGGGTGGCCCTAAGGGTGCAAGTGCCGCTGCACGTTACACGTGTTCACGGTTCGGGAGCTGCTGCGGTGTATCCCGCTTCCCAGACGCTCAGAACCCCTTCCGTTCCGGATCTGCCTTGGGACAGAAACGCAGCCTCAGCGTCGTGGTTCGTGCTGTTTTTCTGGTCTCCAGACAAGTTAGGCATTCGTATGTTAGTTTTCTGTAAATTGCTTCTTTATGTAATTTGCCTTATTTTCTTAAGCTTGCTTGCTTATTTATCCATTTATTTATTTATTTATTTATTTTGAGAGAAGGAACCAGAACCAGCGGGGGAGGGATAGAGAGAGGGAGGGACAGGGAATCCGAGGCAGGCTCTGCGCTGACAGGAGAGAGCCTGACGCGGGGCTTGAACTTGCAAACCCAGAGATGACCTGAGGCGAGGTCTGATGCCTAGCCGACTGAGCCACCCAGGTGCCGCTCAGTCACCTTTTTTTTTAAAGTGGGTGGTTGATCTTTTCTCATTGTATATTTCTCCTTCTTTGTGTATTGTGTCAGAGGATTAGCAACCCTTATTAAAACTTGTGCTTGCCGTATAATCGTTTTACATGTTTTACTATATGGAAATATATCACTTATTTCTGTGTGTGTGTGGGTTTTTTTTTTTTTTTTTTTGGTAGATCTGTCTCTATGCCAAGAGTTCTAGCTATGCTTTTACCACGTGATGCTTCTGGCCTTTTTTATATTTAGCTTTTATTCCATATGGAATTTTATTTTGAGTGTTGTGTGAATTTGGGGCCTATAACAGTTCTAATACGATTTGTTGATTTTTTTTCCTTTGTCTTTTCCACTTTTTAATATGTTAATATATTAAGTTCCCGTGAACCGTTTTTGAAATTACCATTTCATTGTGTGCGTGAATATCTGTGCATATGTCTTTGTGTGTGTACTATGTATATATGTTGGCATATTAAGAAAAACATTTTTTAACGTTTATTTTTTTTTGAGAGAGAGAGAGCATGAGTGGGGTAGGGATAGAGAGAGAGGGAGAGAAAGAATCCCAGTTAGGCTCCTCACTATCAGCCCAGAGCACAGTGCAGGGCTTGAACTCACAAACCGTGAGATCATGACCTGAGCTGAAATCAAGAGTCAGGCGCTTAACTGACTGAGCCACCTTGGCGCCCCATATGATGGCATATTCTTTTTCAGAAATTTCTTTTTTTTTTTTTTTTAATGTTTTATTTCTTTCTAGGAGAGAGAGAGAGAGACAGCGTGAGCAGGGGAGGGTCAGAGAGAGGGGGAGTCACAGACTGAAACAGGCTCCAGGCTCTGAGCCGGCAGTCAGCACAGAGCCCGACGCGGGGCCCGAACCCACGAACCGCGAGATCATGACCCAAGCGAAAGTCGGACGCTCAACCGACTAAGCCACCCAGGCGCCCCTCTTTTTCAGAAATTTCTTGATTAGCTCTGTTCATTTAAAAAAAAAAAAAAGTACTTTGGGGCACCTGGGTGGCTTAGTCGGTTGAGCGTCCGACTTTCGCTTGGGTCATGATCTCGCGGTTCGTGGGTTCGGGCCCCGCGTCGGGCTCTGTGCTGACTGCCGGCTCAGAGCCTGGAGCCTGTTTCAGTCTGTGACTCCCCCTCTCTCTGACCCTCCCCTGCTCACGCTGTCTCTCTCTCTCTCTCCTAGAAAGAAATAAAACATTAAAAAAAAAATAAAAAAAATGTACTTCATGGGGCACCTGGGTGGCTCAGTTGGTTAAGCGTCCGACTTCAGCTCAGGTCATGATTTCACGGTTTGTGGGTTCGAGCCCTGCATCGGGCTCTGTGCTGACAGCTCAGAGCCTGGAGCCTGTCTTGGATTCTGTGTCTCCCTCTCTCTCTGACCCTCCCCTGCTCATGCTGTCTGTCTCTCTCTCTCTCAAAAATGAATAAAACAGTAAAGAAAATGTACTTCAGAAAAATTAATCACATTCTATTAAGAACTCTATTGGAATTCTTATTGAGATTGCATTGAGTTTATTTATGTAATTTGAGAGTGATTGATATTTTTACAATACGGGTTCTTTCATCTAGGAACAAAAGTGTCTCTGTCAGGCTTTTCTTTTTTGCCTGTCAGTCATCTACCAAATGTTTATTGAGTACCTGCTCCTGTGCTTGGCACTGATCTAAGAGGTTGGGGTACAGAGTGAATAAACCAGAGGTCCCTACCCCTATGGAACTTATATTAAGTAGAATTTTCTTTATATAGTTCTTTCACATTTCTTGTTAGTTGCAGTCTTAGATATTTTGTATTTGTCATTGTGGATGGTGTAGTTTTTTTTAACTTTTATCTTTCGATGTTTATTTTTGAGAGAGAGAGAGAGAGAGAGAGAGAGAGAGACCGGGAGACCGAGAGACCGAGCATGAACAGGGGAGGGGCAGAGAGAGAGAGGGAGACACAGAATCTGAAGCAGGCTCTAGGCTCTGAGCTGTCAGCACAGAGCCCAACATGGGACTCGAACTCATGAATCATGAGATCATGACCTGAGTTGAAATCAGATGCTTAACTGACTGAGCCACCCAGGCGGCCCTAAGATGGTGTAGTTGTTAATCCTATTCTCACATTTGTTATTGATCTACTGTAGAAAAGCTTTTTAAAAATATAGTTGAAGGGGCGCCTGCTGGCTCAGTCAGTTGAGTGTCCAGCTTTGGCTCAGTTCATGATCTTGTGGTTCGTGAGGTCAAGTTCCACGTTGTGCTCGCTGCTGTCAATGCAGAGCCCACTTCAGATCCTCTGTCCTTCTCTCTTTGCCCCCCCCCCCAAAGTAGAAGAAAACGTTGAAAATCTAATTGAATTGTATACATCTGGTTTTTTTAGTCTTGTTTTAACAGTTTGGTACTTTAGATTTTCTAGTTAGTCATATTTGCAGCATCTTTTGTTCTGATATTTATAGCTCTCATTTCTTACACTTGTCTCAGAGGCACTCATCATTAAGCCCTCCAGCATGATGTTGAAGAGTGCAGGTAGTGGCAGGCTTCTCTATCTTGTCAGTTTGTTCTGAGTTTTGATGAGTGTTGTTTTAATGTTTTGCTGTTAAATATGTGTATTGTAGGTTTGTGATACTGTTTTTTTTGGGAAGAAATTTGTTTGAGTTTTAAAAAAAAAATTGTCAAATTCTTTTTCCTCATCTGTTTAGGTGATCTATGAGGTCCCTTTAACCTCTTAATGCATTATGCTGGTAGATTTCTAGTGTTGAACCAACCTTGCATTCTTGAGCTCAAAACCTATGTGTTTTGTTCTTTTTAATATATGGTTGGATTTCATTTTAGGATTTATCTACAAGCATAAGAAAGATTGGCATATAATTTTCTTCCTTTGTGTTTGTGAGTGCACGGGTGCTATCTTTTTTTTTTTTTTTTTTTTTTTTTTTTTTTTTTTTTTTTTTTTTTTTTTTTTTTTTTTTTT